CCCCCCACTGACTTTGACGATCGACGATCGTGCGATCGACGGCAATCGATAATATTGATAATTTCGATTATTTCCAATGATTTAATATTTGCGGTAATTTATTTTGCAATAATGCTATCCGGTGCCCGAAAAATTATTTCATCACTTAAATTGTTCGTGAAAAGTACCAACGAGGTTTAATTAACAAGAGACTTGTATAAATCGATCGAATTGTTTAAGTTATTATATCGAATCGCTTTCGTTAATTAATTTATTATTTCTCTGTTCTTAATATTTGCAATAATTCTGCTTGTTAGAAGTATGGTTAAGAAGCACACTGGCTATTTTGCCATTTAATTTGCTCGCGTAGATAATCGTGAAGATCAAGAATGTGAAGTAATTTCTCGAGCACGCGTGTTTCAAGAAATTGTTGCAGTAGACAAGTTTCGTTAATAAATTGATTTTGCTTCTCGATGTTTAATATTTATTTTAAGCATCCCCGTGGCTATTTAGTTGTATCATCTCGTGACGGAAGTAATTAATAACGTGAAACATACGAAATGATTCTCGAAGCACGAATTTATTGAAGAATCGTTTCGTCGAAGATATTTTATCCATACATTTATTATTCCCAGCTGTTTATTAATAATTACAAGAATTACTTTTACTAAAGACCAACTTCTAATGCTCTCTCCTCTGTTTTATGATCCAATGTTTAAACAAATATAGCTAAATAGTACTCGAGGTTTGATATTCACGAAAATTCGTTTCGCGTTTCGTTATTACCTAAAGTTAAGGATGTTTATTTTATAAATATTTTTAATGAAAATTTCATTGCAATACCTTCAATGGTTCAAAAGTTATAAAAAAAATGTCACTGCATTTCTCGCGTCTCGGAGAATTTTTCTGCTTGAATTGAGTTTCTTTTTTCGTTCGTAATAGAAAATGCCGGTGGCTCCATCTTGTATTTATCAAGCAGCTACACATCTCTAGATAATTCCACTTATGCAACGAAATCTGTACAACAGGTACCGACCTACTGTATCCGTCAAGTCACATGGCCATACCATCCCTTAAAGGCGAGATATAAAAATAATCTTGGCATTTTTGATCTTAGAATGTCTCCGGCAATTCACCGTATTGGATCCATGTCGCTGATTCTTATAATTACAGTGTCTAGATATATACGGGGCACAGATTAGGTTAGAAGAAATTTAATTGACAAATTATTTATTTATCGATATCTAATGTATATAATAATTTCTTTTCTTAGCAATATTGTTTGTTACCTCCTTAACTATTTTACCGTATAATTTGTCATTGAAAATACCTAATGCTGCTGGAAGAATTTTTATTTTCCTTATCATGCCGACTAATACTCTCTCATCTGTTTTACAATCTACTGTTTAAACAAAAGTAACTAATAGGATGCTGATACAGAAAAACCTTTGAAGCACACATATTTCATTGCAAATAATTCGACGCTTTTTTCAAAAACATTCATCAACATTTTTGAAATATAAAATGTTATACTTTATAAGTACCGTATTCGTCATTTGAATATGTGTGTGCCGCATGAATTTGTCACTTCCAAATCATAAATCATGCCTAATTACAAATGGGGTATGGGAATGGTAATGGGGTTTCTGAAGCACCATTCTTGAGTGACGAAATAATATATTAGGTGTCGAGTCTACTTCTATACGTAGTCTGCGGTGAAACGTAACTATGCCGTCTATGGATCTAAAATCTGTGACGCGGTAGCTAGTGGCGCCAACTATGGCAAAACGCTGAAGCTGTTAGCACATACACGATACGGACAGTTGTCTTATGATAACATTAATTTTTTTAAATTTTTATCGGCAAATATTGATATCAAAAAAATTATACTTAAATACCAAAAGGAAGAAGATCGTGGTCCTTTCTTATGTGTATATGTAAAATATAGATTATCTCGCAACGAATGAACCTGAAAACCTAAATAACGCTCATCTACGCGCAAATGTCAATTGAAAATCAAGTGTTAATTTTGACTAGCTATGCATAGGATACGATTGGATAAGGTCAGAGAATCGGTATATTATTTTATTATTATTATTATTACTATAAGTACGAATGCACATGAAGCAGACAGATTTATTATTTCGATTTATTTAGAAATTATATTTTTCGGATCTATTCTTTTTATGATTGTTTAATCTTGTAATTTTGCTTATTACTAACTGTACAATATTTTTATTATTTAATCTGTCCTAGAATGCGAACCTAGAAATTATATTTTTGTATCGCCCATTCACTGTCCGTTTAATACTTTGTGCACACTAATCATCTGAATCATTTCATTTTTCGAGGATCTTATTTCTGAGATGAATAGAGTATATTTCAGAAACACGTTCTACTGATTTATACGATCGCAAGATATAGAGCATAAGGTAGGCTCTATACGTGGCAAAAGTGATCTTTTTGTTTTTCATGGCTTACGAATCGCGCCCAACAATTTACGCGCGCACATTTCCCGCGTGGTCCAGGCGTAAGTGCATGCGTGCATTCGACCTGAAGCTTGTGTGCGTTGTCCGAGAATCAGCTGAGCGCCAGCTGTGCTCCCCGTAATAACCAATAGGAAAGACGCATGCGATTACACAGCAGCGCCACGGATATACGGCCGGTGCTCACTAGTTTGGCGTTCCCGCGAAACTAATTCATAAGCGCCAGTTCGCGGTTTAAAAGCATTATTTTGTGGACAGATACGGCTATCGGCAGACTAGAACAACAGATTCAAGTGAGGAGTGTACGGTACATTCGAGAGTAATATAATTTTCGTGGTTTTTGTATGAAAGCTGAAGAATAATCGAGCGGGAAATACAGATGCGCAGTACGCGTGGGTGCTGCAACTCGTCGGATTTTTGCATCGTTTGCACACAATATTTCATGTTTTTCTACGAATGTATCGTGTTGTAGTGGTAAAATGCGTTTCTCCTGGATAATGCATAGTGTTTTACATGAATTTTTGTGATATTTTACTACAGAAAAACCGTGCGATACGCGGGCGTGTGTCACAGGACGCCAACGCTTCATGGTGTTTTTGCAGTTGTTAAATTCGGTGTATGTACACAAATGTGCCAGTGTTTTTCTATTGGAATTAAACGATTGGACCTTGAGGAGACTATTCTACCGAAATTTGGAATTTTTTTTACTATTTGAGGTTATGGTACAAGTATAGAGGGCGTGACAGTGGCAGATTGCAAGCAGGGGTTGGTCATCGTTTCGCGCGCTGGTCTCCCGCGCTTCGACTTCCACGTCCCTTATTTTTCTCAAGATTTACCGTTCTGTGATATTCTGAGGCTGAAAATAACATCGAAAAAGATTCCGAGAAATTTTCGCGCTGCATAATCAATCGGTAATAAGAAGTTATAATATAAAATATTGAATCAAACGTAGCCAAGTATACGTGCATTATGGCGATCGAGTACGTGTAAGCTTCGCGCGCTCCTTTACTTTTCGCCCTTTTCTTTGGGAAAATCCACGAACATACGTTGTGAAAACCGAACGGGCATTACATCGAGATATCAGTCAGTTAGTGTCTGAATTAAAAAACCCCATTCCCGTTGGAAATATTTCTTGAACACGTCGACAATTCTGCGACAAGATGCCACAGACGAGGTAAGTGAAAGACTTTCCATTTGGAGTTGATATTTCATTGTATTTGCTCGATATTTCGACGGAAACTCTGTCAAGATTTCAAAAATAGTCTTCACTCCGTGTAAACAATTTATCACGCTTCACAATTGGAAAAAAAATAAGTAAATGTGCTTGTATAACCTTCTTCATTGAGTACTCGCTTCTTGAATACTTTATTAATATTTTCCGAGTAGCAAACATAACACTTTTTTGTTTATTGTTTTATAAGATCTTTACGAGGATCTAGAGCATCAGATAAGGTATACATGCGGTGCATATGAGGTGAAACGAAGGATTAAACGTACTATCACATATACCTTTTACCTGTAATCTATGAATGTTTTGATCAATCCTGCCCCAATATTTCACTTTCAATGCATGTGTACAGCCAATAGTTTCACAGAACAATATGGAAAATGACCCGTTTGGTCTATTCAGTTTACAGGAAAAAAAATCACAAACTTATTTACAAGGTGGCAAAGTAGCAACACAATCTTTAAAACGTAAAAGACGTACAACAGAGATCTCTGAAGATTCAGAAAATGTGTATCCTCCCAGTAAAATACCAGCATTGTCGAATGTATCATATACAGAATCTTGTCATTCAGTACATTCATTAGAAAATACGTATACACCTCATCAAGTATCTCCATTAAAAGAGCAACAAGAAGCAGCCACATGGTCTGAGCTACGAAATGCAACATGCTTTTTAACGCCATCGTCATCTAATAATGTGACAAATAGACCTAGTCCTTTGCCTTCGTTTCCATGGGCTGATGGTTCTCAAGTTTGGTCTCTCATGTGTTCGGGAGATCAAAAAACAGTTACACAGAGAAACCCACAGATGTTCCAAAGGCATCCAACACTACAGCCACGTATGAGGGCAATTCTGTTGGACTGGTTAATCGAAGTATGTGAAGTATATAAACTACATAGAGAAACTTATTACCTTGCAATGGATTACCTAGACAGATATCTGTCCACTCATCAAAATGTACCTAAAAATCAATTGCAGTTAATAGGAATCACATGCCTATTCATAGCTGCGAAGGTTTGTGCTTGTTTCGTTCTTTCTTTTAATTCTTCTTTAATGAAACAATCGAGTTATTGATATGTATCATATTTTTACAGGTCGAAGAAATATATCCACCCAAAATAGCAGAGTTTGCATACGTCACAGATGGAGCATGCACAGAAGAAGAAATCTTAGGAAAAGAATTGATAATACTGAAAGGTCTTGGGTGGAATTTATCTCCCATCACAGCACCTGGTTGGCTGAATATTTATATGCAAATTGAATCTGGCGACTGGTCAAGACCAAGTGCTTTTATTTACCCTCAATATGGAGGCCTACAGTATTCTCAAGCTGCTCAGTTGTTGGATCTAGCTACGTTAGATGAAGGAAGCTTGAAGTTCCCATATAGTCATATAGCAGCAGCAGCCATCTATCACACTCAAGGAAGGGAATGTGCCTTGAGGGTATCACGCATTTCATGGGAGCAGCTTGCACCCTGTGCCAAATGGCTTAATCCATTTGCAGTAACAGCAGCAGAGGAAGGTTCTCAGCTTCTTTTAAGGTCTGCAGTACCACCTCCAGAGTCTCATTCTGGATCTGGTCTCAGGGCAACAGTGCCCAATATAGTTATGGATGAATCGCATCGTATCCAGACACATGTGGTTGATTTAAATATGCTGGAAAGGGCGCAACAGCGGTTAGCTGATGATGTCCCTTGTACAGACACAAATGAATCTGATTCCAACACAGAATCTGGGAGACAAAGCCCAAATGAAAGTGGCCTTTTAACTCCTCCATCTAGTAGTCAGAAAAATTCTACAACACCCTCGCGTCCTCTACCACAGTTACATCCGTATACATAATTAAATATATGCACACTTCGTAGTCGAAGATGAAGTGTATCGTTTACTAATTGTTGGTGAATAATTTTAACTAGGCACTGTAGTGTATATGTCTACTAGGAGATATCATTTCATTGCTTTGAATAATACAGCCAATGTGTAAACGTGCATAGACGTTACTAAAATATGGGATTGCATTAGTGCACGATGTTGATGGTATATACTGTGTTTATTGTTGGAAATAATACGGTGCTTCCCATTTCGGTCCATTGTTTTGTGCAATGGTACTTCTATTTGTTATAGCAAGACTTGCAGTACAAGGTGTTAACCATTTTCTATAGTGTTTCAAAATGGCACAGAGTTAATTTAATATTACTTATTTTATTATAGACGTTTAAAAAAGAAAAAAAAGTGCCTTATGTGAAGAAACGTAAACTTACATGGAAGCCTATGGCTAATTTCTGTGATTATATCCCCGCAGTGAAACATAATGCATTACATAGGTATGATAGGATGAATTAACGGTTATAATTATTGTCAGAAATTTAGACTAGCACATGCAGAAGTGTCTTTAAAGCAACCGTTTTAACTAGTATCAAGATAAACGAGATCATTGTGAATAGTATTCTTTTATATAATTCGCTTTATTTTAACGCATCGTATTGTAACAATGCGTTACCGAGCCGGGTGAATGTATTTTTATGTATATGTACATTGTGAGGTACTAATAACAAATAAACAAAAAAAAAATGAAAATAATGACGAGGGTGTGATGGGATGAATGTATGAGCGAAGAATAAGACTACTTACTTGTGAAACGAGAGAGACTTCGTGATCAATTTACGCTGCCTTGTATGGATAACGCGGCAGTTTAGTACACCTTTGTATAAAAAAATTTGACAATAAACATTTGTAAATCTTACACTGAAATTGGTGTTTCATCCCTTTTAAAGTCCATATAAATTTTCCGACGTTATGCTAGGTAATGTAAAAACGTGGAATTCATAATGATTACAGTTACGAAATTTCGAAGCCGAGACTTACGCGCCGCGCGGTGAACTATCGATATTTAGTATCGATATTATCAACCGCGAAAACAGCACAGCAGCGCTGTGGACATTCGACCAACTATGTAAGGCGAGCTGCGATTGGTTGCTCCGTCCGCATTCAAGTTGTCAAACGGAGGACAGCCGTTAAGAAAGCGGTTGTGGCGTTGTGGGCTAAACATCGTAACGCTGGCGACTTTGTTCACAACGCCGCGAAGCAGAGGACGCAACAGAGGTTTCAAAAGTGTTTTTTGATTAAAATACGAAATTCCCGACTCAAAGTGGTTATTCGGAGGTTCGAGATTACCAGCAGTGCAACAACGGAATACGTTTAATGAACATATAACAAGAAGTTTTTGAATATTTGTGCGATATCGTCGAGATGTCAAGCCCTAGGAGTATCGGTGGTTCGGTTCGCGAGGGTACCCGGGTTGTGCTTCGTGAAATCACTGCATCTCTCCACAATTCGCCGCCGGCGCCATCGTCTTGTTTCAAGGTATTTATATTATCTTTTCCTGTTATATTCGATAATACGTTTCTATCGCACACGTGACCACAAAGACCGTTTGCAAGTTCGACGCTCTCATCCTTTTTTCCTCTCTCTGTTCTGACCTTTCCCCTTGTCTTTATTGCCAACACTCGCCAACAGCCGGAGAACCCCTATAAATAAACTCTGAATCTCCAGGAGCACCTTGAAACGAAAATAAGTTTCGCTTCTCGCGCTGGCGGCATTTATTTGACGTCCGAAAAAGAACGCATGCTCACCAAAAATGTATGGAATTATTCTGCATATAATAAGCCTTCATAAAGATTCATAAATCGTCGTGTTTCAATAGGATACCGAACGAAAAAGGGTATCAAAAAAACTGTTTCTCAGTATCACAAATAATATAATAAATTTTATTTTAATCTGTTGATTTAAGTTAAACTCTCAATTACAAATGTCTATGAACCGGCGTGGCGGTAGATTTCGAACGATGGTAAAACTAACAATAAACATCGTCAACGAAGGATGGCCGTTTTACCAATGGTTCCAAGAAGTCGGGTAATCCAAGGCGAAACAATTCGAAGTTTATGTCTACAAACCGCTGTTGCGACCATTTTTGTAGATGGTACAAATATATCAAAATATTTTTATTATCAAAATATGATTATTCTCAACTCGCATCGAATTGGAACATTATGTTCAAACAGCCTATAGTGAAATCCATGATATTGGTTATTTGTTAAGAACGCATATACTCGATTGATATTTAAATTTAATGTTCTTGAAAACGCGAAGCCTTCCATACAATTTCGTTAGTCTTGATTTCCGTCTTATTTCCAGTTAGAGAATTTATCTGTGACCCAATTTGTACCACGAATTATGAAATATCCCGTATAGTTAATAAAGATAGTAACATGAGGCCATAGACCTCTTGCGACATATTCGCGAAAAAATGTTCGCGTTTTTCACGCGCAAGGCAAAACCTGGTTTACCCCTTGAACCGGTTCTACTCACTGCCGGGAAAAAGTCGTTGCATTCTCGTTTACCTTTACGGAAGAGATAAAGACATACATCGATTGGGAAATAAAACTGTCTTCACCGTTAACTTTTCTTCTGATAATGACGTTGCAGATTTATTATTTTTTTAGCATACACCGAAGATGCAATTTAATTAGTGTACACTAGATACAGATTAAAGATTCGGTCTAATTTGTCGATTGAAATGAATTGTCAAACGTAGCAACAAAAATTATTGATCGCTAAAGATAAAAGAATGAAATTGAACTCTTAAACATTCGAATTCGTCTGTATCGCAAAAGCTTAACATAGCATACAGAAAGTTGGATCATGCACGAATTACGTTTAACGTTCAACTATCTCCGCTCGAGAGAAAGTGTTGTTGATTAATGAGGATAGTGCAGAAAATATTTAGCATTCTCACTGTGTCCGATATGCATACTGACCATTAGTAAGACTATTTTACAATGTTCATCTTCACGATATTAACGTTTTTTTTTATATATTTTCCCCTTCCTATCTTATTCATCGAAAGTAGAAAAATACTTACTGCAAAATTAATCTGTTCTTGTAAATTCTATTTTCACAAAACCTGTCTTCATTTAATTTCTAAAACTCTTTGTGCTAGACATCTGGTTCGTTTCAAGAATTGCTTGAACATGTTCCATCTTCTCTGAAACTAACGTTGCCTAAAACTAACGCTAATGAAGGAAAGTGGCTTTTAGATTTGTATTCAGTGCACAAAATACTACGCAGATCGCCTATTAATTATATGTACACAAATAATATGCTGGATACTGTAATTATTATTATTAATAATTATTATTAATTATTCAAAGCGTCATAAATCACGATCTTTTGTACTATTAGTTGAAAATCGATTTACCGATCGTGTCGTGAGATGACATGATTAACGAGTGCCGATGAGTTGCTGTAGATAGCGCCACACCGTTCGTAAAAGGTCTTCTGTTTGTTTTAAATCGTATCCCACTTCGCTTCTCCCATAGTTCGTAGCTTCTCTAGCCTAATCAAAGAATATGCATGTAAGAGAGAGAGTTTTTCATATTGAAATTCTTTATAGAGAAGAGAGCTGTGGGAAGCGCGACAATGTATGTCGAATTGTACGCTACAACATTCAACAAAATATTACAAAATTTATATTATATTATAATATTACAAAATAATATAAAATTACTTTCATCTTACACATTCTAATCGAATGTGTCCTTCCATAATTGAGAATTTTCTTCTATTTCTATATATTAATTATAAATTAATAAATATAATATAATAATATAATAATTATAAATTATAAATATATTAAATTTCTATATAATAACACGACTTCGATATCTTGTAACTACGTTCACGGAACACAATTTACCTACGCATGCGTAGTGGAAAATTAGATCTTCGGAAACGTTAGAGTTTCGCCTCTAATCAAGTGCTCCGTGTTTTGTGGCGTAATGCCCGTGCGGCGTGTGCGCGCTTCGACGTTCGAACAGCGGTGTTAAAGGAGCCAGAGGAAAAGTGTGTATTAGAACGCGTGTATGATCGTGGCAGTACGGTGGCGATGACTCTCCCGTGGCCGGCGATCGTCCTTTCCGAGACAGAAGCTTGTACCACGTTAGGCCGCGAAATCGTCTTGTGGAAAGGTGAGCCGCCGTGACGCTGTAGCGTTTTCCTCAGTGTGCCTCTACGTTATACCACGGGTCCCCACGCACACGCCTTCGAACGCATGTACGTGCACCACGTTCCGTGATCGCTTGCTCGCGCGCGCGTGCCAACCAGTGGTAGTGGTGGTGGATGTCTAGAGTATCGACTGGAGAATGCTCTGCGCTAATATTAGAATTTCGAGAGGAGAGACCATAATCCTTCGTTGATCGTCAGGTTCGGTGAGTGGCTGACTCCTCCGACGGAATTCGTCGCGGCGCAGAGACAAGAAGCAGGCCGCCCAACCGCACATTTCCTTCATCGATTCGCTTCTCTCTTTCTCACGACCCGTTGTCGTTATCGATTCCGAACAAACTGGAATTCGATTCGCAACATCCGTACGTAGAGTTCTCTTCTTCCGATCCTTCTCGCAAGTTCGAACGAGCCGAATATTATCGTTCACGTTTTTCGGCGCCCCCCCCCCCTGGTCCTCCTGCAAGCAATACATATTTCTAGGTGAACATCGACGAAATCGTTGCGAGAAAGCGGTTCGTCGCATCGCAGGGCCGTAAGTAACGGGGTCCACAGGTTTTGTTGACTTTGAGTTTCGATTTGATTTCCCAACGTGTCTCCCGTATCTACCGGAAGTGTCCTCAACTAAAGGCTAGTGACCAAACGGAATCGCTGATAAAACGTGACCGCTTGACACGCATCGAATAATTCAGGGGAAACATTAATTTTCGGTGATACAAATCGATTCAAGTTATTCTTAAAACGTTATATGCTTCCGTTTGTTACGGCCGATTCTGAAATTATCGTGTTTCTTAGACGGACAGAGAAAGATAGACACACCCTTTTTGAGAAGTGTTAGCCTCTCTCTCTCACACACACACACACATACATACACATTCACACTCATTCTCTCGCTCTTTTCTTCTTCCTTCCTCTGTGTCATCACAACCAGATGCGAATGACTCATGCCGATGGTGTGTATGTGTGTTGCGGTCTCTCTACGACGATGTCAAGAACGCGCCGAATAAGGAGCTCGCGAGCTTCTCGAGTTTCAAAGGGAATCGCCTACCGATCGCGTCGTGTCGGCGCGATCGGCGGACTTACCCGCGCCTCGCGGTCAGCGTGCTCGACCGTGTACGCGCTCGCTTTACGCCGTAGATTAGCAAGTAAAAGCGCTCGGTGTACACGTCACGGTGCGTGGCTGTGTCCTTATAATTTCAAGTCGTCATATCGGCACGGAGTAGTAACCTGGTTCTCCTCGTAGCACGGGAATTTTGTCAGCGGTAAATAGCTTCTGGCCCACATTCTGTGCGTGCTTCTACTACACCTTCTCCTTCGATCGATTTGCCCGCAAGTCGCCGATCGAACTTCCCTGCGACGCATTCATTAATCGTTGGATGGTGCATTGCTGACGAAGAGAACAGACGGAGAAGATTATCGGAAGCCGATCTAGTCCGCTGTTATTGTACGTTGACATTTCATATCGGATTTTAATAACTTCATTATTCGGCGGTAATGCTAACAAATCAGTCGATCAGATCTTCTCGAAGAAGCTGTAAATAAAATTTCAAGTAATCGAAATTCGAATCGTACCACGAACTTCTAACATTTCCAATTGTTTCAATAGTATTGTTGTCAAGATCCGTGAAACTATCATTTTTGACTTGCCGATTCGAGATATTGGATTAAAAACTTATTAAATCTTGCCAAATTACTTAGTTATCGGTAACCAAACGTTTGGAAGTTCTTTGATACCGAAAGTGGAAGTGAATTAGTGAAATTAAATTGAACACACAAATTTATATCGAGAATATGTTTATATGAACTTTCCTTCTTATTTTAGCGTACCGAATCCACCTTTGAAGTCGTGTCTATACGTTTTGAAATACCTTGCACGTAGAATAAAATAATCGTTGGGACTAATTTTTCAAAAACTTGTGTGATATTATATATGTTCGTCCGAAGATAAAATTGTGCAACATCATCGTACGATAAATCGTAATGCGTATGTATCGCTTTGATTAATATTTTTTATTATGACTTATGCCGGCCAGAGCAAGTAGCAATTAGTTGGAATTTGGGAGACTTGACTGTTATTTAATTTTTATAGACGCGCTAATATTTATATAACATATATAATATAATATAATAATAAATATAATGTTTTTTATTCTGACTTATATCGGTCAGAGCAAGTGGTAATTAGTTGAAATTTAGGAGACTTGACTATTATTTAATTTTTACAGACGCGCTATTATGCATATGTCCCAATCGGACCATTATTTCTCTATTGCAATAACTAATTTGTTGCATGCACACCTGACTCTCCTTGACTGTTACACTGTTATATCATTTGCAATAGCCGCAATCGCGTGCGGATTGGCCTCAAGCACCTACTAGTGAAATATTCTAACGAGCTATACGATTGATGCTCGTGCCGTAGGTTTTCAAAAGTTATTTACACACCCGTTTGTTTCACGTTGGCCTTAATGTGTGCACCGAGAGAAAGCAATGTTATTTTTATGATTCGAACGGTAGCTAGTAACGCAACATCGGTGAACGAAATCTGTACCACTGAAAAAGAAATTTTGTTTAGTATAAATATGTTATTATATAGATTACCGATTTCCAACCTTTTTCATAGTGCAGCTTAGTGTTATTTAAATGTATTGGCTACGTTATAAACGGAAAGTTT